CCCCCCCCGGAAAGGGTCGGGACGAGAGACGACTATTAGCCGCGCGCCTCTGTCTGACTCTTTTTTTCCCTATTCTACTTGCCGGGTCCGCTCGATCGTACGCCGATAAAATTCTTGTTACTAGTCGCGTAGCTTGCTTTTAGAAGCATGTCGCTTTGGAACTTTGCAGCAGTATCTTTTAGCCGATTATGTTCGTTTGTTGAAAATGCATAAGCCTAAAAGAGGATGTAAAAAATAAGGCAGCTCGTTCAACTCTTCTATCGTTTCGTCGAGTTTTAACTTAGTTGAATTTTATTACTAATCAGTATCACGGAGAATAAGAAATACGAAATTTTAGTAATCTAATATATATGTTTATCTATAACCTAACGACATTATTTAGTTAGTGAAATAAAAGTTAAATATAGATTTTTAGAATAACAGAATTTGAAGAATCTTACAATGAAAGTTAATTTATTTGATTATTTCTTTTTCATTGCCTCACTTATTTCTTACATTATTACACATTTATTATTCATTGAAATGAATATAATCATGGAATATATAATATTTAAAGTTCTATTTCAACTATAATAAATATTTGTACAAGAATTATAATAATTGTCACTATAATATAATATTATATTATATTATATTATATTATAATAGCTGTTATTATAATATAATATAATATAATTGTTATTTATGATTTATGTTGTTATGATTTAATATTATAATATAGTACTGTACAGAATGATTCTCATTGCTATAGCTTGCACACCTAAAATAACTTTTAAATTAAATGCGTCTAATGAGAAATTGTTTAAAACAAAAGTTGTGTGATTTTGAGGGAAGCAAAATATGGCGCATCAGTTTTTTATGTGTGTCGAGGAGTTTCGAAATTTCCAAGTTCATCTTTATGTCTCTTAATTGGACCATATATCTTTTTCATCGAAAATCGAAAGGATATTAAATTCCAAGTAATTTGGATCTAGAGTTAGTCACATTCGGGGAATTCATTTGGTCGCTACCAAAAATTTGTCGCAGCTTTAATGTTGTAAAACGTCGCCGTATCAAAAGTATTACCAATGAAAAAAATGCTGTTGCCGTCTTAGAAGCTATAGAATACAAACCACGTGTAATACAGTCCAATCATAGTAACGTCAATTTATGGAATTTACATTATTGGGCACCAAATAATCTCCATTGGATTAGTTCATTTACGCGTAATTTAAAAATTATTCCAAGTGTGCAAGTTACGTGAAATCAGCCTGTATAGTGTACATAGTCGTGAAAATTGGTATTAGTTAAGGGTAAGAAAAAAAAAGATACTGAGTTTCTAAAAAATTTATCGACGTCGTGCAAGAATAATTACTTTCAATTTTACGTTGTTACTTCTGTTCATTAAATAACCATGGCATTAAATAGTAGTTACTCAATGGGAAGAAACTTCCCATGACCGATAATTTAGATACTAGGTCGAATCCCTCCCATGTCGTTCTCTTCCCGTTTCGTCCGTTCTTCTTTCGATTCCTCCGGCTAGGAACATTTATACCGTCTGAAGCCACAGGATAATTGGATACACGAGTTGCAAAGCGTGGGCGTGTCGACGTCGAACGTTATCTTCTTATCGATGAAATTGCTGCGGAATACGACAAATGTTACCGCGAGAAAATTTTTCTCCCGTTAATTACAGACTGTTCGCGTAATTAGAGACTGTTCTGCATGCGGCTAATACGGTTACGACAGTCTCTAATTAAACGGTGATATTTTTGAATCCTTTTACAGTCTTGCATCCGGTATCTTCAGATGGACTCTGCTGCTTAGTTATTGCGATGAATTTTACTAGTCTAATTGCATTACGCAATTTTCACGTAAATCGATAAACGATACGTTATATGGATAACTCATCTTTCATGTTTATTCCAATATTAATACGTGACGGGTTTCCGCAATGCTAACTAGGGGACGTAAAAGATCGAGGTATAATGTATCGTCTAGTGGCACAACTTACCAGCTAGCTCGACAACTCAGATCTTTACTTTTTATTGAACTTTCGAAATCTTCAGTAAGTAATACACAATCTTCATAAATATCACACGCAAAGTGAGATTTCTCGACATTACTAGAAGTTCTTCAAGCATGCAATAGTTGATTTTACATTTTAAGATTACATTCAAAATGGTATGAATGAATGGATTCAGCGACAAAGTAGTAAAATTCTAAGAATAATATCAATGCCAAATTTAAATATTTTCGTTGCATTAAAAATATTTTTCTCAACAAGAATATACATCATTAATTTCGTCTCAATGTCGCCTACAGTATTACGTAATTAAAAACGGTGATTTTAAAACAAAAGAAGGTATTCTTGAATTTTGTATTAAAGAAAAGTAATTTTGGAACTCGATATTCGAGCATTGATAATTTTTCTCTACCGGTTAGCGACTGTTACGCTAAAATAGATACTAAAGAGAGACTAAAAAAAGTCTAACTAGATACTAAAATAGATACTAAAAGATACT